AAAAAAAAAATTCAAGTGTCATACGGGATCTATATTTGTTCCCATCCCAAAGAAGGGTGACCCAACAGGGTATGTAAATTATAGAACAATATCATTGACTTCACATGCAAACAAGATTCTACTGAAGACTATCCCAAAACGACTGGAACAGCACATCAGCCGAGAATTGCCAGAAGTCCAGGCTGGGTTTAGAGTGGGTCGTGGTACTAGGGCTATTGTAACTAATGTAAAGTGGATCTTAGCTGAAAGCAAGGAATACTAGAGGAATGTATATCTGTGTTTCATTTGACTGTGTGGAACATAACAAACTGTGGCTGACTCCGAGAAGAATGGGAATCCCAGAACACATGATCGTGCTAAAGTGAAACCTATACTTGGACCAAGTGCAGTGGTCAGAATAGAGTAAGGAAACACTGCATGATTCAAAATTGGGAAGGGCGTACACCAGGGATGTGTCCTGTTTCCGTACCTTCTCAACCTGTATGCAGAAAAGATTATCTGGGAGATTGGGCTTTATGAGGAGAAATGCGACATCAGGACTGGTGGAAGACTGATCAACAATCTTCGTTATGCAGATGACACAACCCTGCTTGCTGAAACTGAGGAGAACCTGAAGCGTTTGCTACAAAGGGTCAAGGACTGCAGCCTTCAGTATGGATTCAGGCTCAATGTCAAGAAGACAAAGATTTTCACCACTGGACCAATTGGCAGCATCAGGATGGATGACAGAGAGATTAAGATTGTTCACAGCTTTAGTTTGCTTTGTCCCACAGTCAACATTCTTGGCACCAGTAGCCAGGAAATCAAAAGGCGTATTGCCATGGGAAAGCCTGCTGTTATGGACCTCTCCAAAGTACTGAAGAGCAGTGGTGTCTCTCTGGAGACTAAGGTGCATCTGATATAAGCCATGGTATTTGTTATCACTTGTTATGCATCAGAGAGTAGGAAAATGACTAAGGATGATAGAAGAAGAATTGATTCAGCCTTTGACCTGTGGTGCTGGAGAAGAGTATTGAAGGTACCATGGACTGCTAGGAAAACAAACAGATTCATCCAGGAAAGGGTTAAACCAGGCGGCTCCTGGAAGGCAAGGATTCTGAGGATTCGTCGGACATAATTTGGACATGTTGTAAGGAGGGACTGGACCTTGGAGTGGGACATCATGCTTGGGAGAGGGGAGGGACAGTGCAGGAGGGGCAGGCCCTCTATGAGGTGGATTGATTCAGTGACTCGGGTAATCAGGATGGATGTGTGTCAGAGACAGTGCAATTGGCACAAGACAGAGCAGAGTTTAGGGCTGTTGTACACAGGGTCGATCTGAGTCACAAGTGACTAGCCAGCACATGACAACAACAATCAAAGGGGAGCAAACCTAGAGAGAACAAACTTGTGAGTTACATATGAAAGGTCTTTGGGGTGTTATTTTATGGGTGTACTCGAGGAGAGGGTGGAGGGAAGTGGAGTAGATAAAATTCTCTGTACACCCTAGGCAGTTTTTCCTACCCAGGGGTCAGATGGCACAACATGAGAACTGAGGAGCTCACCCCAAGGGCCTGTTCGCCCCAGGGGCCTAACATGGCTTGCCCTGGGGGCTGAACACGGCTCACCCTGGTGGCCGAGAACTGCTCACCTCAGGTCAGAGAATGGCTGTCTAGCACACTCCCCCACCAAAGTCCCCTCTCACCCAAGTCCAGACCCCGCTCCTCACTGAAAACGATGTGGCCAGGGAAAGCTTTCCCAATTCCAGCACTGCCACATTTACCTCCCTGCCCCCAATAAGTGGTCATACTGTAATTTGAAGTAGGTGTCACTGCCCTCCCCCTTTATAAGTGGAGAAGGGAATCTGAGAGTGGTGAACGGACACCCCCCCCTCAAGTCAAAAGAGTTCTTGGCAGAGGCATTCAACAGATCAAAAGATGTAGTACATTTAGGATATCTGCCATCTTGGACATGCTGCTACCGTTAAGTGTCCTCAAGTCGTAGACAGCTCACAGTGACTCTCATCAATCCATTGTATTGGTGATCTTCCTCTCTGGCCTGCCCAAGGAAACCCCAACTTGCCGATGTGTCTCCTGCCTCCGCCATCTTGGCTCCAAGAATTCTACCCAGAACAAGTCCACTCTGGGTTGGTGTGGCAGCTCTGCCACACGAGCCTTGGGGCGTTGCCTACCATCCATCCCAGGTGAGGGGATTCCTGGGGTCTGGTAGTGGGAGCCTCATTTAGCTGCGGGCAGTGGCATGCGCTTGGCAGCAAGGGGCTGGAAGCCGCAGGACTCACCCATTCCTCCGTGGGAATCCTTGATCTCCTGCTGTTGGGCCTCAATCCTCACCGAAGACCAGTCATCAACTGTTTAACTGTTCAATTATCAATAAACAGAGGCCTGTAGGAGGCCATGGTGGCCCTACTCCACGTGGTCCACTGCTCCCACAGCTCGCCATGTTGTTTCTGCTTCCACCGACATGTTTTCCTCCCTAAGTTTCTTTTCTTAAAAGGTGTTTCTTGCTAGTATTTTCTGGTTTTAAACTTGAAGCCATCACAAACCTAGACTTTCTAGCCCTGACAGCATAACAATGCTGGTTAAGTAGTCGTTGTTATTATGTTTCTGCGCTCAAGGAGGAATCAACTCATAACTGATCTTCCATCATGTTTTGAGAGATAGTTTTTTGGGAAGAGGATATCTGAATTCTCCTTCAGTACTCACCAACGTGCTTCGTTGTTTTTCATGAATTCTGCTCTTTGCACATCATTATATACTTCAGAAAATGAGACACAAGGCATGTTATTACCATAAATAAAATGAAAGTAACACCATTTTATTTTACACACTTGCTACCTATATAATTCTGTTACAATAACTTGGTTCCATTAAAGAAGAACTACTGATAGAAACATACGTGACTGATTAGGTCTCATTGGCATAGGCTTTCTCAAAACTTGGAGTTGCCAGATTCCAAAGTAGCCCACAATAATGTATGCCAAGTGCAATAAAAAGGTGTGAGTGGGCAATTAAAAGAGTTATCTGGATATCTCCATATAAGGGAACTTTTGGCCACATTAACAAAACTCACACTGCTACAGTCAAAATCAACATATACACCAACCCTTTACAGTGTTTTCTCTGTATAATGAAAAGTCGGTGGAGAACTTGTCAAGAGAGTGTGGCAATGATTTTCCTTCACATGGAAAAGAAGAAACACATCCTCTTTCAAGGTTACAGGGCCATTCTTCGGTGGCTCTCTGTGTCGACACACTCCTACAGCCCAGTCCAAAGACGTGTCCTCATCTACTTCCCAGCATTGCTTTCTGGAGGTGAAGACTTGTGATCCCCAGGGAGCAGCAAACGTAGATATTCCAGAAGAAAAAGTTGCGTTTTGAAGGTCACATCCTAACTTCAAACTTTGTACATTTTTAAACATCATGAAATCAAGATTGCTTATTTCATTATTGAAGGAAATTTCAACTGTGGATAAAAGAGAATATTTGTCATCAAAAGCAGATTTCAAATTGCTATGACAAATACAAATGTCACTGTAAAACCAGACTTTAATGGCAGATCTGTTAGAAGATATCATTTGATTTCTTGACTAACTTATATCTCTTAGGGAGCTCTGACAGATTACAGATTTTTCACACTTTGTAAAACAGTAGAAACTGAAGATTTTCTATTAACACCAAGTCAATAACCGTGACATTAACTCAACTGCCTCCTCTTATAAGAGCTCTAGTGATACAGTGAGAATAGACGACTGGTAATAAAATGTCTGCAGTTTAAACCCCATGGTGAATCTATGTGAAATAGATGGACTATAATCTTCAGTAAAGTTTGCCAACCTTGGAACCCTAATGTGGGTCTCGATGAGTTGAACTAAAGATGAAAACAGTGGTTTGAGGTTATTCTTCTCAAACATATAAATTAGATAAACCTTCTTGGAAAATGTTCCCTATGAGATAGCTTCACAGGTGATTACATTTCAGGCTTCATCTTTCCCTGCTTCACAAGCTAACTTATCTGATTTAGGTCTATTATGGTGCTTTACAGGAGGTTCTGGTGACTTGATGGTAAAAAATTGTGCTACCAAAGAAAAGGTTTATGTGGGTTTAAGGTACCATCGAGGCAGGTATGTGCAATTGTTATCCTGCGAACAGGGAATCTGAACCCCGTCCTATCCTGTGCCATCCTCACACTTCCTGATCCACCAAAGCCGATTGCAGCAGTCTTTGCGTTATTCCACCTGGATGAGGGTCTTCCTCTCCTTTGCTCATCCTCCACACTTCCAAGTTTCATATCCTTCTCCAAGGAATAGCATCTTTTAATAACATGTCCAAGATATGTGAGACAAAGCCTCATCATCCTTGCCTCTGAAGGATATTCTGGCTGCAAACCTCTCAAAGACATATTTGCTTGTTCTTTCGCCACTCCGTTGGATTTTAAGTGTCTTCTTTAATACCTCAGCTCAAAGTCATCAATTCTTCTGTCATCCCTATTCATTGTCCAGGCCTCACATTAATAGCAAATGATCGGAAAGACCATGGCCTGAATCAGATGCACACTAGTCCTCAAACTGACATCAGTATTTCCAATAATTGCCCATCTGTCTAGTGGCATGAATCTTTGTTTTCGTCACATTGAGATGCACTCCATATTTAAGACTGCATTCTTTGATTTTCTACAAGTGCTTCAAGACCTCCTCCCTTTCATCAAGCAAGATTGTGCTGCCAGATTCCTCTTTATAGAGTCCAAATATTTGAATACTGCAAAGTTACACAGTTCAAATCCACCAGCTGCTCTGCAGGAGACATATAGACAATCTCTTCCAGTGAAAATTACCCCTTCTGAAAGTGGCTGGAAGGGTGGCCATCTGTGTGTTGGTTCCAACTTGATGACATGCAACAAAATGGAACTCTATGCATTGCATCAGTAACAAAAAGTATACTCTTTTGTTTTATTCACAAAGGCTTATTTTTTTTTACTTCTAATAATTTAGCCTGACATTAAGAAAACTTTTGCTGTATCAACAATGATGCACACTGTACAAATTCAACTAAGAAATTATAGTAGAAAATAATTAACTCTGCAAACTGTTTGGAGTTTAGTGCTGTTCCTCAGAAATAAGTAATGTAAATTCTAAGTCCTCAGACTACAGTTAGTGAGCTCTGCTGCCCTAGTGGGTAAACAACTGGACTGCCAACCTAAAGGTAACTGTTTCCTATCCACCAGCTGATCCCTCATGAAAAACAAGCACTCTACTTTTATTCTTTAATGGCTCTAAAACTTGCTAGAAGCTCACCAGTGAGGTATATCCAACACCTTTGTACACCACACACACATACACACACATCAACATACCTGTAGTTACAATCACTACCATCTACAGACATGAAAACCCAAATGAGGGTCGTTGATGAGTCAGTTCTGACTTGAAGATATTGGGGCTTTAGTTTTATAGGGGTTTCAACACTGAACTGACACCTCGAAATTTGTTCCACCTGGACATCAGGCCAGGGATGGCTATTGCACGGTATGCTGGGTTTACCGGCTCAGGCATGCGCAGCTGCACGGACTTGCTCCTGAAAAGAGGAAGATTCAGTCAATCTTTCAAATGCAAAAGGAAGTCATCGTAGATGATAAAATGATCTCAGCTTAATTGAAAATTATTTCATCAGAACTCATTGAAGATATGTTGTGTATGTACATTCAGGATCCCTGAAAAAAGAAAAGATTGTGCTTCTTGATCACTTCTTTGATTGCTCTCCATGCAAACTCTCATTAGAAACCTTAGTTTCTAATTGGGACCTCCTTCTCAACTACTGCCTGTAAAATTCATGTTGTACATGTATATTGTTTTGCCTGTCCCACTGAGGTTTGAAATCAAATCAGGTAGAACATTTTTTTCCTTTACTAATTTCTGTCTAGAACCATACAAATTACAAGCCCCTCATCGCAGTGGCAAGAAGCTGCACTGCAATTCTGAAGGTAAGTGGTTTGAGGCCACTATCTGTCCCCAGGAGAAGGCTGGGCATTCTCCTCCTGAGTGATTAGCTGCATCTGAAAACCCACTAGAGGTTCAACTATGGGTTGATTCCAACTCCATGGTGCACAACTACAAAAACAACAAACAGAGAAGGACAAGACAAAAACACCCCCTGGCAAAGAGGGAAACAAAACTGTATTCACACAAATACACACATATACAACAGACACATTCACACGCATGCACAAGTTTTAATATTTCACTGAAATTTAAATTTGTCATAAACACCGTGATATCTTGCCTAGTATACATGTGACAGTGAAGACAAATCTTACCTGAACAACAGACCTCCCAGTTCCTATAAAGAGAAGAAGAAAAAAATAATCAGGATTTTTTATCATGTCCAAGTTCACAATGTACCAAATACTAACTTTCTCCACACTGAATTTTGGAAATTACTTTTCTGTTTACTTTTCTGTTTCCTCTTTAAGATAATCACATGAACAAAACCAAAATTCTTATTGATTAAAGATTCTTTGAGTGAATTAATAGAGAAAATGACCTAGGTTTGGGATGCATGCCTTCAAACATCAAAGGACTCTAAAATTATTGGTAAGGAATTATGTAGCCAATGCAAAGGGACATCATTTTGCAAAGAATTACATAAGATAAAGGGAATTCAGATCTGGGACATCCATAGAAAGGAAGAATTAAATTTCTTCTTTCCATTACCTTGAGCAACTAGAGACTACACGATCTGTGAACAAGTTGGGTTTTTTCCTGATGGCTACAAGCATGATTTACATAGTGAGAAAATGAAAGATAGCCTTTTCTCTCAGGTCTATAAGTTTTCTTTGTCATGACTGAGACATGTTCCATAAAAGCATAAAATACAGATGTAATTCTTTATTAAAAATTGTATAATAGACATAAAAGATATCCCTAGTACCATTCTCATCACATACCTGCAACAGCTCTACATCTGGTTTATCACACATATTCAGCAGCTCCTCATACATTTTATGTAGTTCTTTGTGTTTTTTTAACAGTGCACGTTCTGTTTTCTGGAATTGTTTTTCAATAATACTACGATGGTGACTCAGCAGTATCAACTGCTGTGTTCCATTTTCTTGGAGAACTGGATGCAACTTCTTATACTCTCTATGGATCATCATTGCGTAGACATGAATGTAATACTGCAGAGACATGAATATTCTAGATTAAACACTAGGTTGACTTCTTCTTTTAGCCTTAAATATCATTCAACTTTTTAAACAAATATTCTCTCCCAATCAAGTAAACAATTCTGTTTATCCACTTACCAATAACAAAAAACAACACATAGCTCTCTTTTCTCTCTTTCGTATAATGATAGAACATTTTAAAAGAGAAGGATGAGAATCCCAGAATGCTTGACCGTCCTAATGTGAAACCTGTGCTTGAACCAGGAGGCAGTTGTCAGAACAGAGCAAGGAAATACTTCATGTTTCAAAATTGGGAAAGGTGTATGCCAGAGATGTGTCCCATCTCCATATCTTTTCAATCTATATGCGGAACAGATTATCTGGGAGGCTGGGCTCTACAGGGAGAAGTGTGGCCTCAGAATTGGATGTAGATTCATCAACAATGTCCATTATGCAGATTACACAACAACCCTGCTTCTTGAAACTGAGGAGGACCTGAAGTGTTTGTTGTGGAAGGTCAGGGACTGCAGTGTTCAGTATGCATTGAGGCTCAATATCAAGCAAACAAAAGATTCTCACCATTAGGCCAATTGGCAGCATCAGGATGGATAGTGAAGAGATTGAGTTTGTTAATAACTTTAATTTCCTTGCCTCCCAGTTAATGCTCTTGGCATCAGCATCCAGGAAATTAAAAGATGTATTGTGATAGGAAAGTCTGTGTTAGGGACCTCTCCAAAGTTCTGAGGAGCAATGGTGTCACTCTGGAGACTGAGGTTTGCCTGATAAAGCCCATGGTCTTGGAAATCACTTGCTGTGCATCGGACAATGACTAGTGAGGATAGAAGGATAATTGAAACCTTTGAGCTGTGGTGCTGGAGAAGAGTACTGAATATACCATGGACCGCTAGGAAAAAGAACAGTATCATCCTAGAGAAGGTTAAACTAGGCTGCTCCTAGGAGTTAAGGATTCTGAAGCTTTGTCTGACATACTTTGGATATGTTGCAAGGAGGGACCAATCTTTGAAGAATGAGGTCATGTTTGGGAGAGTGGAGAGACAGCTCAGGAGAGGAAGACCCTCTATGAGGTGGATTGATTCAGTGACTGGGGTCATCAGGGTGGGTGTGTCTGAGACAGTGAGATTGTCACAGGAAGGAGAGAGCAGGCCTTAAGGCTGTTGTACATCGTGTTGCTATGAGCTGCAGGCATCCCGACTGCACGTACCAACAACATGGATGGTATAATGTTTACCCCAAAATGTTTTATGCATACATACCACTAGCCCTGTCCTTATAATCTCATTTAGGAATAAGTGGTATATTTTAACAAGGAGGCAGCATTAACAAAGTGTATCTCTGTTCATTTGTAAAAGACTTTAAGCAAGAGACCAGAAGAGATGGATTTAAACAGACATATGGAGCTACTCAAAGAAAACCAGAAGAATAACCTAGAGGAAAAAGAACGTTCCATGAGAGAGTCTCACCCTCAGTCAGTACTCTTTATTTGGACATCTACTCTACTAAACTGTGAGAAAATAAATTTTAGTTTGTGAAAGACATCTAGTTGTGGAATTGCTATTATGTCAGGATATCACCTTTTCTTGAAACCAATTTAATTCAACTATTAAATCCTAAAATATCAGTAGAAATGAACTCAAGAATTTCTTTTTAAATTATGTTTTTGTTGAGTTCCATTGTATACTTTCCAATAACAACCCTAGACCCTCTATGTCCTAGAAAGTGACACTTCCTGCTCCTGTACCACTCTCACAGTTATTTTTGAGCACTTTTTCAGCCAGTATTTCATCAGAACTTCACAATATTTCATCAGTATTTTCACAGTACTTTGAGGTACTGTGTCTATGTTCCTGCATTTTGTAAATACGATGCATTCCTTAAAATAGAAAATATACATTAAAATTGATTTTTATAACATTCACTCTCTGCAAGGAATATAACCATTTTCCCAATAGTGGAAGTCATCAGAGAATAGTATTTCTAAAATTCGTAAATCCAAATCCTCAAACTGGATATCTGATCAATATTATTTGTTCTTATGGATGGTATTTGTTTTCTTATCCTTAGTGTTTATGTTTCCAGGTTTTGATTTTGTTTTGATATTTAAGGAGTAGAAATCCTTGGATGATTGAAAGAGAATTGATGCCTTTGAGCTATGGAGCTGGAGAAAAAGTATTTAATATGCCATGGACTGCTAGGAGAACAAATGGGATTTTCCTGGACAGGGTGAAAGTAGGTTGCTCTATGGTGGTAAGATTTCTGAACCTTCGTCTGTCATACTTTGGACATGTTGCAAGGAGGGACCAGTTCTTGGAGAGGGACATTATTCTTTTGAGAGTGGAGGGTCAGCACAGGAAGGAAGACCTTCGATGAAATGGATTAATTAAGTGACTATGGTAATGATGGTAGGTATGTCACAGCCAATAAGATTGGCACAGGCTAGAGCAGGGTTTAGGGCTATTGTACATAGGGTCACTATGAGTCACAGGCGTTTCAACAGCACATAACAACAGCAACAACAACAACTATAACACTAATCCTCAATTCACTGCATGCTCTGCCAATACCCGTGTGTTGCTTAATCATGGTAGCCAGGTCTCCGTATATCTGCCTAAAGCTGATTGCAGAAAAGACTATCTTATGCTCGCCATCCATCTCTCCTTCTTCTTGCTTTCCTCACTGAGATCCCTCTCATTTTCTTTAATCTTTCTCCTTAATGATGTCATTTCTCGGGTGAGCTTCTCCTGAAATCAAACATACAAAAATAGTAAATCAAAGTGCCGGTGGAACATGTATTCTGTATTTCGAGGGCTAAGAATTGTCAAGCACAAAATATGTCAAAAAGTGTACTTCAGAGAGTTGAAAAACAGACCACGTTTCTCTGGCTAGGACAGATAACTAGTCTGGGAGATGCAGTCCACAGAACTTTCATTGTTGCTGTTGTTAGTATGGAAACTGTCTAGGGAAACTGATAAATAAAAAGCAAATTAGCACATTGACTTTGCATATGATAATATGTTGGTTGAACTTCTGCCTGTGGGTTTTGATACACATGTTTTAAACCTCAAATTGATTGTATTCTAACTTTCCTTTCAGTATCTTTTCACCAAATCTGATTGAAGTTGTACCACTCCCCTGTTAATGGTCTATAATAGTATATTTTATGGCCAGGATTCTTATGAGTGAACTCCTTAAATTTGTACATGGTGAAGCTAGATGCTACTTCGAAAAGTAGATGCTTTATAGTTTTCTATTCCAAGGTAGAGAACAATTGCAGCGTACTTCCACATGGGTGTACATACTTGGGAATTCTATGAGAGTTATTCATACTTATACCTTCCCAAGCACTCTACTAAGTCTGCTGCTTGAGTCTCCTATGAGGTGAAATGGACTGGGTGAAAGTGAATAGTTACTTTGATTGGGTTTGGAACTATGGAGGAGGATTGGAACTTCATTTTACCAAAACAATTATAATCATTAATTGTAGCACCCTCTCCCGAGAATGCTGTTTCCAGGAAGGCAACTTTACTTGTCCATTTTCCCTCATGCTTTGGAAAATACTTGGCATAGAATATACTCACAGTGTCCTGAAGATTATCATTTCACGACACTTTCCTTCACCACATAAACCTGAGTAACACTAAATCATTATAAAAAAGTGACTGCATAATTTCCTAGCCTCAATTTTTTGTTTTCCATTATATACAAAATTCATGTTCAATCTACTCTGCTAAATGTGAAAAATATTATGAATAAGGTTCAACAATTGCAAGAAACTGGGAGCAATATTCCACTGCCAAGACTGCTGCAATTCTCAAAAGCACGCAGTTTTTGTCCACCAGCTGCTCTTCCAGAGAAAGATTGGCAAGCTCCTCCCGAGGGATTAAGTACAACTGAAAACCTACTAGTGGCTCAGCTAAGGGTCAGTTATGACCCCATGGTACACAACAACAGCATTGTAAAAAATACAGTACTATGACTTAGACACACCACATGCCCACAACATGTAAAAATTGGAACCCACCCATGCAGGTCAACACAGGACTGCTACAACCTTCAATTTGTCAGAAACCAAAAACCTGCACCCTCTATCAGAAAAAGAGAGTGGGTGAGAGAACACAAGGAGACATGCCAAAACTCTAGCTTTGTCTAGTTTTCAAAGTCCTTCAGATGGATCACTTACCCTGTATTCTTTCACTGTGCTTTGAATGGAGAAATGTCTGTCAGCTTCATGCTTCTGAGTTTTAGAGCAGAGCAAACACAACAGTGACTTTCTCTTTTCACAAGAGATCTTCTTTGGTTTCTTATGTGTCTCACACAGGTGTTCCTCAGCACTCAGGAATTTCCCAAGACTGGATTGTCTGGCCAGGGACACTAGCTCCTCCACAAGAACACTGGGTGTGATGTCTGTCACCTTTAAGACTTCCCTGTACACAGGGCAAATTATGCCTTTTTTACAGGTAAAGTCAATGCAAGGACGACTGAATGTGTGTCCACAGCCTATGACGACCAGATCCTTAATGTAGCCCAAACAGATTGAGCAAGTGATTTCCTTTTGGAAATCCTCAGTGATGTCCATTTTCCTAAGGAAGATAATCAGAAGTGTTGAATTTTGTCCTGGAAACCAAAGCCTTGGCAGACTTTTTCTCATAATGTTTTTACTAGTGTAGTATACTTCTGTCTAGGCTGATTAGTATTCTCTACAAATGACAACATTTTAAAATTAGGCACAGACCACTGCACACTCTACTGAAAATGAGTTTGCTTTGTAATCTCAAGCCGTAGAGTTCTGCTAAATAAAATAGACTAGCTCCCAATGGAGGGTTGCTATGGGTCAGCGCTGATTAGGCAACCATGATCTTCTGGGTGGATGGGGATTTTGTGCCATCTACCTCCTCACCCTTTCACCCCTGTTTCATAAACCTGCAACTTGATTTTAAAACATCAATCATTTATTCTCTTCAGTAAGAGGATTCTCATTGTGTCTCTGCCCACTTTTGCCAGGATCTCCATCAGTTTGGTACAGTCCTTAGTAATTTCTTCAATAGACAAGTAACTCTCATGAACCCAAAATTCGAGAGATCAAGTAATATATTATATTGTTGTTGTTGTTGTTGTTATGTGCTGTCGAGTCGCCTGCGACTCATAGCGACCCTGTGTACAACAGCCTTAAACTCCGCTCTGTCCTGTGCCAATCTCACTGTCTCTGAAACTCCCATCCCAATTATCCCAGTGACTGAATCAATCCACCTCATAGAGGGCCTTCCTCTCCTGTGCTGTCCCTCCACCCTCCCAAGCATGATGTCCCTCTCCAAGGACCGGTATCTCCTCACCACATGTCCAAAGTATGTTAGACAGAGCCTCAGAATCCTTGCCTCCAAGGAGCCACTCGGTTTAACCCTTTCCAGGACAAATCTGTTTGTTTTCCTAGCAGTCCATGGTATTCTCAGTACTCTTCTCTAGCACCACAGCTCAAAGGCATCAATTCTCCTTCTATCCTCCTTGGTCATTGTCCAACTCTCTGATGCATAACAGGTGATTGCGAAGACCATGGCCTGTATCAGACGCACCTCAGTCTCCAAAGAGATACCATTGCTCTTCAGCCCTTTGGAGAGGTCCCAAACAGCAGACTTTCCCTTGGCAATGCACCTTTTAATTTCCTGGATGCTGGTGCCAAGACTGTTGACTATGGAGCCAAGCAAACTAAAGCTATGTACAATCTCAATATCTTCACCATCCATCCTGATGCTGCCAATTGGGCCAGAGGTGAGAATCTTTGTCTTCTTGACATTGAGCCTCAATCCATATTGTAGGCTGCAGTCCTTGACACTCTGCAACAGGCGCTTCAGATCATCTTCAGTTTCAGCAAGCAGGGTTTTGTCATCCACATAACACAGATTGTTGATAAATCGCCCACCAATCTTGACCCCACATTTCTCCTCATAGAGCCCCGCTTCCTGGATAATCTGTTCTGCATATAGGTTGAAAAGGTATAGAGATAGGTTCCATCCCTGGCGTACGCCCTTCCCAATTTTGAACCATGCAGTGTTCCCTTGCTCTGTTCTGACGACTGCCTCCTGGTCCAAGTATAAATTTCGCATTAGAACGATCAAGTGTTCTGGGATTTCCATTCTTCTCAGAGTCAGCCACAGTTTGTTATGATCCACACAGTTAAATGCCTTTCCATAGTCAATGAAACAGAGATAGACATTCGTCTGGTATTCCCTGCTTTCAGCCAAGATCCATCTCGGCAAATATGATTCCAATTCCTCTTCAATTGCTTAAGTGGATATATGTCACTTTGCACCTTAAAGTACACCATACAGAAGTTGTAAATTTTTCAACAGCTTTTAAGGCATATTCATTAGTCAACAAGTATAGCTGACAAAGAAGTGTTTATAACGTTGAATGTTGTTTTTGCTAAGGAAACAAGACAAAAGTAAAAAACCCAATTGAGAAATGGGCACAGGATATGAACAGGCACTTCACTAAAGAAGACATTCAGGAGATCCAAGATGGCAGAGGAGGCAGAGACAGCGTGGTGAGCTATGGGAGCAGCGAACCTCTTAAAGCAGGGCCATTGTGGCCTTCCACAGACTTCGGCTTATTGATAATTGAACACTTAATACAGTTGATGACTGGCCCTCAGTGAAGATCATGGCTCAACAACAGGAATTCAAGGATTCCCAAGGAG